TATATGTATAAACATAAGAGCAGGTGGTTTCTGCCTCTCGTTCGTAAGTCTAAGTAAACAAGCGTAAAAGGGTATTTAAAATCGTTCAAGGAAAGGCAACAATTAAAGTAAAATTCTCTAGAATTGTAAAAAACGGAATATAATGTATATATTGTAACGATATATACATGAACATAGGCAGACAGTTTTGCCTTCTTGTTCGTAAGTCTTTTGCTGTCACAAGTCTAAGTAAACAAAGGGTAAAAAGTTATTTAAAATCGTTCAGTATTTGTAACTTTTAATGGAAGGTGTGGCAAAGCGAAGAAAGTGTATATAATTAACCGAACAAAATGAGCCCTTATAAGCCGTCTGTTCTTCCATCTATCTGTATGTACGCAAGGATCTCGGAAACTTTAAGAGCTAAAGCCATAAAACTTGGTATACCTACACAATGGATATATTTTTTCTATGAACACCCCATTTCCCCATTCCCCCCTCAATGAGCTTATATTTAATAACTTTCGATTTCTAGTGAACTTTGTTAAAAAACAAAACTTTACAAAATGAGGATGTTTCCCAGTGTATTTAAACAAAAAATGTCATTAAAATTTGCATACAAAAATGCAATCAAAAGTACATATAGCGAATTTTTAAATTATGCATGCAACACGATAGCGTTGCACAGAAAGTCATGAATAAAGTAGCCCTTGAAATAACAACAACAACAAAATCATGCAACAGGCAACAAAAAATGACAGTGGCGAGAGAAAAGAAAGCAATAACGGGCGAGTGAAGAGCTGCCCATTAAAAATAAAGCACTGGCAGACGGAAACGGTATTGAAAAATTCCAACGGCTGCAGCTGCAGCAGCAATCACAAAATCAACAACATTGGCAGCAACAGCAACAAAAGCAACATCACAAAAAACGGGCAGCAACAAAACGTAAAAGCCTATCAAAATTTGCAATTTCCCAGTAGGATTTAAATTGCATGCAAAGATTACATCCTCAAGAAAAAGCTGAGAAAAAATGCAGGGTTTTTTGTTTGCATGTGTTTTAACTAAATACTAATACCAATAATTAGTAAGACCGGTTGGGTAAAAAGCACGTCAAATAAAACCAATGAACTCCCTTGGGCCTCTTCAGGTGTAAATTTATAAGCTTGCCTCATCGCTACAGCCATCTCAACCCTAACCTAGCCTAACTTAATCTATTTTGGTATAGTCTAGTACAAGCACAGGGCACAGAAAATCGAGTGCTCACAGCTCGACTTTATAACACCATTTTGGAAAAAATTCACTTGGGATTTACAGTCCAAAGAAATCAAAAAAATTATTTCAATGAAAATTTATTGATAAGTTACAGAATTTTCAGACCATCAGGGCAGCTGAGCCTGCGATGTCTCTTATTGATACTTGAAAGGAGATTCAAATACTAATTTTTTGAAACAAATTAAAGTTTATTTATTCAACAATAATATACATATCCACAAATGCATTGAAATATTTAGATAGAGTGGGAGTAAGAGTGGTTTTTTAATTTGCATTATTTTTAGACGTGATTGTTTTTAGGAAATCGATGGGCCAGTTCTAAATGGTCCTACTGGGTTGGACGCATCCATTCACACACATATGCTACATTTTTTTCGCCGCCTCATCGTCTTTGCACATTCAGCCAATTTCGCAACAACAACAAACGAAAACGAAAATCCACAACAGCAACAATTTCATGACAAACCCGTTTAACAGGCAAAGAAATTCACGTGCAGCGGCATATTTTTGAAAAAAATTTGGCCGCCGGCCGATTTTGAGTCACAAAAAAAGAACGGTCCAACAATTTACAAAAAAAATTAGCTGCAAGCCCATGCATTTTGCATATTAACAACTGCAACAACAATAATAGCAGCAACCGGGGGGTTTGCCATTCTGATAACAACAACAAATAAAGTCGCATTAAGCGATACAGGAAACAAGAGAGAACGCTACAGTCGAGCAAGCCCGACAGTGTAATACCCTGTACCCAGGTAAACTTCCGTCACTGAGTTATATGCGCCCATAGCAGCAGCAAAAAGAGGAAGAAGAAGAGCGAACTTGTTGCTGCAGTTTGTGGGGTTGTACTGGCGAGAATTTGTTTCGCTAATAACTTTTCTTAGAATTGACCGAATTGAATAAAATTTTGAACAACAATAGACAATTATATTTAAATTATGTGTGCAAAGTTTGGTTTAGGTATCATTTGAAATGTGGACGCTATTGACGAAATTCTGTAGCGGGGGAAGGGGGGGGAAAATTCCAAAAAATAAAATAAACTCGTCCTTTCTCGGACCTAGTAGAATCTGGATGCCAACTTTGGTTATTCTAGCTTTTATAGTTTCTGAGATCCTCGCGTTCATCCAGACGGACAGACGGACAGACGGACAGACGGACGGACGGACGGACATGTCTAGATCGATTTCTCTCGTCATGCTGATTCAGAATATATATACTTTATGGGGTCGGAGATGCTTCCTTCTGCATGTTACATACTTTGCACAAACCTAATATACCCTTTTTACCCTACGGGTACAGGGTATAAAAACAGCGCAATGTTTAATTTGCATATGCAATGCAGAAAAAGGAAGTTAGTTGGATGGGGGATGTCGGGGGAGGAGTAAGGAGGGAGCATACGTACTCGAATATATGGAGCGGCATGTCAGGAATTGGCTTTCGCCCAAAAGACCGCAAAAAAGGCGCGAACTGTTGTTGTTGCCACGAATAGGCCAAATATGCTAACGAAATGGTTTGTAGCGAGCGGGGAATGGCGAATTGTGGGCTTACAGTTTTTTGTTTCTAGAGAGGGAAAGCTGTTTGGCTAGTTCGCAGCCAGTCATAACTGGTGAGGAATTGGGTGATGAAACCAACGAAGGATCCTGCCACACCTACATAGTTTCGCCCCAGTTGGAGTGATCGCAGAAGGAAAGATTCAAAAAATATATTTTATTTTTGTTATGGAAAAAACATTGAATCTACTAATTGAAGTTGCTAAAAGAAAGATGGCTGAAAGAATTTCAACATAGTACTGCCAGTTCCAACAATTGTCGATTTGCTAAGCGTTCAGGATATTAAAATATATACTCCAATAAAAAGGCTTTAAAATAACTGTTTACAGCTAAGTGTGTGTACTAAAACCTTGAAACAATTAAATTTGTAATAACAAATAAAAAAATAATAATTTATTTAATACGCATACCGGTTTGTAAAACTATGACTATTTCTTTAAAATTTTATGAACATATTTCTTAATTTATTATTGGAATTTGAATAACAACTTATTTATGTTTGCTAGAATTATACTTCTTTTATAATATTTCCAGCTTCAACTCGTTCAAGTTTCTCATTCAAATTCTTTGAAATGTGATTTAATTTTCGTTTAAATATTTCTTTCTGTTGCTTCTATTCTAATTACTGTTAATTTAATTATTGTTTCATTTAAAACTTAAAATTTTACTATGCTTTAATTAGCAGGCATATGCTTCTCCCAACTTTATTATGAAAGGAAATGAAATGTGCTGTGAATCATTGAATTCATTCAGAAAGTATTATGTATTCCATCTATCTTATAATGAAATACTTGTATGTAGCGATTTATTGCAATTAGTTTTGACTCAATTTAAGCTAACTCCACCCTTTAATTGAAACAGCAATAGTTAATGATAAAAATCGATTTTACGCCCATTCTTTATTTCTCACTTATCTTTAAAGATCGTTCAGAATATTTTCTTTGCGATACAAAGTTACTTAAAACTGAAGCCTAAACCCAGCTTAATGAGAAACTAAACATTCTTATTTTTTTTAATGCTAGCCCGTAAATTTGTTGAGCCACTAAAAATATGCGAAACAAAAATGTCGATTAAAACACCTGCGCCAACTTTGAACTTTTTTGTGTTGGGCCCCGACCCGACCCAACAACAACAACGATAGCGTTAACTACATAACTTTTAAATCAAATTCTGGCTGCCCACTCAAAAGTAATCAAACGTAAGGCAACACCGTGACGCATTTTAAGCGACACAACAAAGGGAACTTCGCGATGAAAACAACAACAACAATGGGGGCAGGGGGCATCGACAGCAGCAATAACCGGCAAATGGAGGCTGAAGCGCTTGAAGCCACGCTTAAAGCGCGTTGTTGCTGTTTTTGGATGACAATTTATTTAAACATACATAGTATACGAGTATTCATATATAAAATTTAACATTTTTTTATGGCTGCTTTGCACCTCACTAATGACACTTTTTATTATTTATTTGTTAATATTAAATTTCACTTTTAAACGAAAACAAATAAAAACAAATCGGCATTCAACACTTTCGTTTTGTGCATAAAAATTTCTGTGCGCCACTTTATTCGATTTTCAATTACGTATTCTAATTGTATACAACAATTTCTATTCGTAATTGGCGTCGTTTGTTTCACTTTTACTTGTCGAACTTTGAATTTCACTTTTTGACGAGCTTCCGCATTTTATTATTGTTGCTATTACTATAGCTGCTTTTTTTTTTGCCGGCAATTGCAAGGCAGCAGACTTGACGTCGCTGTCTCCGTCGCTGATAACGCACGTGAATTGAGAAGAGCGAGAGAAGAGGGCAGACACTAGTACAACAAAAACTTTGAGTAGTTGCCGTTATTATACCCCGTACCCAAAGAGCATTCTCTTTAAGAAACTCTAAACACCAAATGGAATTTATGATCTGCAATGCAAAGCGAATCAAATGACAATCTGTCCATCCAGACAACTTTTGAAACAAAATATATAGATAGACAACGCTTGTCTTATCTGTACGCACAGAATGTCATACGACCGATCGGTACAAAAAATAACACTATTAATTGCAAAACTTCCTTAATAAAGATTTTATGAGTAAACCTAATACTTTTGGTGATTCAATAATTCCACACTTTATTTTGAGAGTTGGTCGGGTACAGGGTATGCAAAAGTCGCACTCGTGCGACTTTAACATTCTAACCGTTTTTAAATAATTTACCTCATTTTAGCACACGCACTCACGCACACACACAAATCATTAACATCAACACGAATTGCCAATTCGTTCAACGAATTTTTTGTTTTGATTTGAAAAGAACTCACACTTTCTTTCTTAGAACTTTTGAGATTTTAATAATTTCTTTTCTGTTGTTGCTGTTAGCTTGTGTTGCTGTTGTCGCTATGATGTTGCGTCTGCAACTGTTGCTGCCAATTTTCAAATGATGCGTCGATGCATGGACACAGGAGCGGCTGTTACTGCGACTGCGACAACTTCGACAACGACGCTGACCGAGCGCTCACACACAGATGCGTGCGAAGGACACACACTAACACACACGCACACCCACGCGACTCGATTATCAAAACGAAACTGAATTGTTGAAAACGGCAAAAGCTGCTGGCAGGCCTGCAGTCGCGTTCGCAAGCGCACGAAGCTCAGATTTCACGTTCCACAGCGCTGAGCGTAAGCAACAACAATAACAGAGAGCAGCAAATCATGAAAGCATGAGAGTAATGCAATCCACAACTGGAATGACAACAAAACCGTTAAGAGGCGACCGTACTGTCTAAGTATGTGTGAGGTAGAGGTGAGCATGGGCCGTGCTTTTATTCTTGACCCATCGGGGCACACGCTTTTTCGTATTGGCTCAAATAGGAGAGTCAAGCACAGAAATGCAAAAAAAGTCCAAAAACAACACTAGCAGAATATTCCACAAATTGTAAAATAGTTAAATAAATTCAACAAATTTCGTGCTTAGCCGTACTGTGCCTCGATACGTATGTGTGCAGGTTTATGGCTGTATCGTACTGGATCATGCTCATCTCTAGTGTAGTGTGCCTGCCAGTGTCTAGACTCTAGAGATGAGAATGGGCGGGTAAATGATTGTCATTTTTGTTGTGTAGTTGCTGCAGTTGGCTTGGTACGGGGGCGTGCATTTAAAACCGCCTTATGTACATTTATTTATTTATTTATTGCTTATGCACAACTCATATCAAGTGACAACCGCCGCCACCACCACTACCGCCATCAGCACCACTTGCGCCCACTTTGTGCAAATACAGTTAGCATTAGCTAAAACAAACAAACAACAACAAACAAACGCATTTTTACTGTTGGGAACAAAAATAATGCCGGCTATTTGCATAGCTCGAGAGCTCTTTGGTTTATGCACCCAAAAGTATGCAGAAGGTGGCGAACATTTTTGTGTTTGCTGCAATGTTGTTTTTGTTGTTGCTGTTGTTTGCTCGTCGGCATGCTCCGAAAAAGATAACAACAAACTTTAATGACCGGCATGGGTCTCACAAAAACTGAACCGCACACACACACACATTCATTGACGCCAGCCAGTGCGGTGGAAACGGGGAGCACAAACATATGTATGTATTGGGACGCTCTCTGGCTACCGCTCTCTTGGATTGGAATGAAAACATAAACAGTTGTTTCTTTACACTGAACTACAGAGATATTTTAATTTTTTAGTACTCATATTTATTATCCAATCCACATTTAGTCGTACATAACAATAAAGATAAATACTCTATATTTTTCAAAAATAAAAAACATTAACAAATATAAAACTAAAATTATTGAATTTCTATAAAGCGACTTTTAAAACATTTAAACTTTCAAATTAAATTTCTTTTTACAAGTTATGTATAAATAGTAATGTTAACAAAAAAAAGACAACAAAAACATTACCTCATTATTATAAAATTCATGCTGCGTTAAAGTACCATCGAAAATAAGCAATACAAAGATATACTCGACCAAATATTCCACGTTAAAAAATGATGGAAAAATATTTAAAAAAATAGCGTAAATATAAATTCACTCGTGTCTGGCATATTATTGTATAAATAACCCTTCAAAATCTACTATGTATTTTTTGTTGACCAGTGCTTAGCTCCATGCTCCACCACGCGCACATTTTGTGGAAGCCAATGTAAACTTATGCCGCCTGTGTTTTTGAATGCGAGAGCACTTGCTGTGGATACTGGAAAGCCGCCAAATATTAGGCTCTCACAGAGAGAAGGGAATTTTTGAGAGCGCCAACACTGAGAGGGAGCGTTAGAAATGGCATCCACTTACGCGCAGCGGCGACTGCGTCGGCATGCACTTGTCCGCTTCTAAGCTTATCAGTGTTGTGCCACACATGTTGTTGCTGCTGCTTTTGTTTTTTTTTCTTGTATCGCCGCATTGGTTGCCGTTGTTGTTGTTGTTGATGCAATTGATGCTGATAAAGTGGCACTTTTTGAATTTATTGATAAGCGCAAAGAGAGGGTAGAACCGATTTCATTGCAAAGGAAAGAAATCTGCGCAAAAAGTGTGATAAATGTGAATGGGAGCTAAAGTTGCAGCAATAACTACGCCAATTGACTAAATTAATTGGCCAACTGTTGTTTTTCTAGTTGTAGTTGCTGTTGTTCTTCGTTCTCTTACATGTGCAGACACCAACAAAAACAAGTTGAAGCAAATACAAATAAAAAATAAAAAAACAAATGTAGAGAAAAAGTTGCCGCTTGCACAAATATGTGCATGCTCCACATTTTTATAGCTCGGCCGAGCAGCTGCAGCTGCGCCGGAGGGCGTGGGGTCGGGCGGGCGGTCGGCGCAAATCAAAAGCAACGACCCACGTCGCCCCCGACGATGCTGCCGACAATAAAACTTATTGTAATGTGGCTTTGTTTCCAAGACAAACATATTTACATTAAAAAGTATGTTCGTACCTACTTGTATATAAATTTACATACATAGGTACATCTTAGATATGTACGATGTACTTATTCGTGCGTGAGCTACATAAATTAGTTAGTTAATTAGTTATATAAATTTACACACGTACTTATGTATTAGTACGAGTTCCAGATAAGTATTTAAATAAATTCGTGCGTTTCGAGTATTAACGAAACTGACAAAAATCACTTCACGTTATATTTCGTCGATTACTAAACTTCAAATATAAACTATCGCCTATGTATATCGATGTAATAATAATGACATTATTTGCATTGCCATATCGATATATTTTTACTGATCGATCAATTTCTTAGCAATCATTGAAAAACAACAATTGAATAAAACAACAAGCTAAGGTGAGGTGTCCCAACTTTTAAGTACTCTGTACATATGTGTAGAATAATTACAAAATTAAAGGGTGTATAACTGCACATTTCTTATAGAAAATTCCTAATAATTTGGGAGATGGAGGGAAATTCTTAAATGCACATTATTTGCGTATTTATATATTTGAGTTCGAAATTCCAAGATTGTGGGAGTTATGGAAGATCACAAATTGTGGGGGAGTGGTGGGAAGGAGGGGAAATTCCAAAATACACATTTTCTGCGTATTCACATAAGGCATTTGGGATTGGTGTCCTTAGCTCTTATACTCTCCGAAATATAAGCGATTATACGAATGGAAAATCGGGGGAAGTGGGGGGTAATCAAAAAAATAAGACGAACTCGTATAGCGTACATACATAAGGCATCTTTTTGCAAAATTTGGTGTCTCTAGCTCTTATAGTCTGTGATATCTAGGTGATCATACGGACAGACAGACAGACAAAGATCGACTCGTCTTGTCATGCTGATCACGCCTCCTTCAGCCTGTTACATTTTTCAACTCGCACAAATCTAATCTAATCGTGAGTATAATAAAGCAATATTTGTGTAACAAATAAAATAATTAGATTTTAAGAAATTAAAATTAATTTTATGTACAAGTATGTAAACAAAACTTCAATAGTTTCATGAAATTGGCAAATTGTTGTGTCACGCGCACATCTCTATTATAAATATGCTGCACTTCCTCTTGCATGCACTCCAGAGTGCAATCCACTGTGACTGACTCACCTCATTAACGCCAACTTGGACTCATCGTAGCTCTCCAGGCGTTGATACTGCACCTGTCGGGTTGTTGTTGCACTGGCCGCTGCCGTCGCCGAGTGCCGTCGATAATCCGCAAAGCTTTCACTCTTGCGTAGCCCTGGAATTTTACCGGAACTATTTCGCCAATACTTGATCATGCGATGCAAAGCAGTGGGCGATGACAAGGCTGGCGTTGGTGGCGCCGATGCTGCTGCTGCTGCTGCTGACGACGACGTCGGAGTCAGTGTTGCAGAGCCGCCGACATGATCGACCAAAGTGCGATAGGAAGTCATTTGAAAATAGTATCTAATGCGTTCAGCATTCTACAACGATGCTGTGGATTTTCACTGATATTTCGCGACAAACACTAAAACAACAACAAGTGTTGGGAGACCGACCGACAATAACGAGCACCGAGAAGTGTTTAGCGCGGCCACGAGGTCTCGACAGTTTCGAATTGCAGCAGCGGCTTTCTGACACTGACTGACTGACGACTGACTGCTCTGACTGACAGCGACGCGCACATAACTGCAGCGAGAACCACAACAACAAGAAGAAGCAGCCGCGGCAGCAGCAGCAGCGGCAGCAGAAAAGCGCTGCAATCGGCACAATGGAGCACTATCTGCATACATTTGTTTGCATGTATGTATGTATTTATATGCGACAGACTCACACACACACGCGCACGAGGAGTGTTCAATAAATATGGCCAGGAAAGTGAATTAAAACAAATAATAAGAAATTGAGTCATTTGAATATGATTCACATGGTCAAAGGATTCTCTTCAAGACAATCATGTATTCATTGAATCATTTCAATATGATTTGAAAACAGTGTTTCAGATTTTCCATTCCATTTAATTTTGAAATATTTAAATTCAATTCTCTTTTAAAATACGCATTTAACAAAATTGTTAAATTAAATAAATTATTTATATTTACAATTTTATTGCAACTTTCCAATTCACTTTTTTAAATCAATCCGTCAAAGCGAATATAAAATCAAAACAATCATTTACATTGAATGAATTTTAAAAATTTATAACTATATATGAAATTTAAGTGTGCTTCTGTTTAGAACGTTATCATTTAAAATTATATTTAAATAATTTGAAAACCACTTTAATTAAAAAAGTATTCATGATTCAAAATTGATTTTTCCTCGTAAGAATGGAGAATTTTTTTAATTAGGTGAAATACTAAGACCTTTATTGTACTATGAATTTTAAGAATAACAATTTCTTTTAGTTAAGAAAGTAAATTTAAATGATTAAAACCTGTTTTTAATCAATCTTTAAAAAGTTGTAAGGTTGAAAATAAATAAATTGCATATGTAAATTGTTATGAAATAGTACATTTAATATAAAAAACGACAAAGAAATTAAGTTAAAAATATTGGATGAGTTTTTTTATATGTTTTGACTTAAAAATGAATCATTTGAACCGTATGCCAAAGGAAGTGCACTCCAAGCGAATTTCCATTATTATTAATTTAGTAAATAAATGATCTACATGAGAGTTAAAAATCATGAATAAGCATTTATTAACGAATCATTT